GGAATCGAGGATAGGAACGGACAAAGACAGAGGACATGGGAACCTCTTACGAGGTACCTATACCTATATACAAGGGGTCACAACGGACCCCTTTACCGAAGTCCTCTCCGCTCGGCTACCAAGAGGATCTTTCGTAAAATCGGGCCGCACCATCATTTGTTCTTCTTTTTAGAAGCTACTTCCGTCTTGAAATATGTTTTCACGGCCGTGACGATGATCGTAAACGACAATGATAAGGAGGCGCGGTTGGCAAATAGAGTAGAGAAAGGTAAACGTTTGTCGGGACGATGCTTGGGCGCGATAGAAAGGACATGCAGGAATGAGTATATAGAAATCGTTAAGCCGTGTTGTTACAGGTTCTTCATGGCGGTAGTGAAAACAGGAATTGGAATGCAAATTGTCGTGGCGGTTGGATGTATTTAACGTTCGAAATACCAATAATTTCCTTCTTATTACCTTCGGTATAGTCGTCGAGGCACTCGTTTGCAAATTATTTTAAATAGTCATAGAAGCAAACACAGAGGTTCTTTTCTTTTTCGTTCTTTGATCATATGTGATAGGACGAAGAATTAGAAACTGACGATTAGACTGGATTTTTATACGAATTTAGATTTGTTTGGAAAGAAGGATTATAACGTGATCATCTTCTTCTGCTTTCATATGTTTCAAACTCAAAAATTTCGAGCGTGTTGAGATTTCGAAAAATAATTAATTATAATGTTATGATTAATCAAATTACACAGAAATCAACGTTAAAGTTACAATATCGTCAGGAAAATATAGTTCTAACTTAAATAGATCAAAATAATTCAGACTGACGACGTTTCTGTCGTTAATCACTGTGCCGCTCTTCTCCTCTTCGGGGCAAGGTATCCTCGGCAAGAGTTACATAACCTTCGTGTACCAGAAGTAAAATAAGGCGTTTGGAAAACTGGCTAATTATGCACGAGTGTTTGTACAAGCGCGGCGTGCGTGTACCTTTGTTAATGGCAGTTGACCGCTACGTTTACTTTACCGCTCCTTTACACGTTTCGAATTTTAAGTCCGAATTCGCCGTGCGAACCGCCACCAAACTCGTTTCTTTTCTCTCTCGGCGGCTCGAGTCGCGGCTGATATTCTTCGGGGACTCAATTTAGCGAGGCTAATTCGCGGAGTAGTAGTTAATTCTCACGATAACGAGGATCGACGAATATAAGGATCCTCGAACAGGGGATGAGATCTTTTTCGAAAGGCAAATAAACCTTTGGATGCGCTTGTTCGTGTTATTTATCTGTCAATCGATTTCAAGTGAACTCTTTTTTCGTATATTGAACTCTGGAGAATTTAAGTAACTCAAACTGGACGAGAATAATAACATCGATTTTTCATTACGGGAATGAATAATGAAGTAACGCTATTTTATATCTCTTTTATATCTAGGACGAAAATACAATTTGTTAAATGTGCAGGTTCTACGTTACAAACGTGCAATCGAGTATCTATATTCGTAAATGGATCGTGGAACTCAAGCAGTGAATTAAATTTTCACGAAACGAATAATTCAGAGGTGTTTCAGTGCCTCTTTAAATTATCTAATCGTGTAACCAGAAAACATTGACACTTTTAAATTTGATATCAAATTTCAATTCTGTTAATAAGAATACAAGACTAACCTTAACTTATCTATCATTCTTGTAGCTATATCCTTCTATTTGACGAATTTAATTTCAACTTGAACTCCGAAATTGTAAGAATTCTTTATCCAAAATGGACAAATAGATCAATAATTATTATTCCTTTAGCTAAAATTATAATTATCTCTTGAGCTAAAAGATCAAACTGTTCCATTAACATCGCGGCACGTAGCAAACGTTACTTTGTACTCGCTGAACTGACTAAATTATCCGATGATATTTTCAGGAAGCGTCGGTAGCAACAAACACAGTCGGTCGAGTGGTATCGGAGAGCGAAATTGTGCATTCGTGGACGGTTCAATGATGCTCGAAGATAACGACACTTTGGTTGGTATTAAGGCATAAATATGGAACGTCTGGAGGGTCAGGTGCGACGACATGGACCGTAAGTGGGCAACGGTGAGGTACGCGGTCAGTGACATCCCGTGAGGCTGTCTCTTCGGGGCCTACAGGTTTGACCAGAATTCACAGCATCACGTGGATGCAGGCAAGTAAGTACAGGAACCGCTATTCGTGCAGCTGTGTACCAACGACACGTATTTTTCTTCTCGTCTCTCCCATTCTCCGCGTTCCTCGCGTCGATCGTTTCCGCGAGGATTTCGAAATCTCGTGTCCGGCCACCACGCGGATGTCGCTTTTCTGTCAACTTTTTCTTCTTCTTTTTTCTTTTTTTTTTTGCCCAGACCTGTCCGTTCAACGCGTCGTTGATCAGAGACGTCGGATTGATCGACGATCGGAGGATTACTCGCGAGGCGGACGATCGATGAATTACGCTGGAAACTGGATTCGGTTCATTGAATTCGATCTTCTTCTTATTTGCTGCTCGAGAAGGGCGTACCAAACGAAACGGCTGTTTTAAATCGATAAAAAACGGCTGACTTGTTTTAAATCGATCGGAGCAAATATCTCGAGGATGGTGAGGGCAATTTCAACGAAACAGAGGGACAAGAAGATTTCTTTGAAGATTCGAGGCGAGTTAACGAAACTCGTGGCTTTTTGTCGGAGGGATGTTTCGTTTCACGATTGATGGCGATACGTCGAGAATATCGATCCTTTCCTCGAAATGCAAACGTTCGTCAAACGCGCCGATCCGATGGAAGAAAACCACGCCGGCTGCTCGTGGATCGAAGAACGTGTCCGATCTCGATGGACGCTCGATCTTTCGCGAAAAGGAAGCGGTGACAAAAACGACGAGGATAGTCGCGCACGAGGGACAGGATCACCCAGTGATCTAGTTGAAAAAAGGAAGAATCGTAAGAGAAGAGAAACAGAGAGAAAGAGAGAGAGAGAGAGAGAGTCATAGAGAGAGGTGCACGGACTCGCGGGGAATCCAATCGTTCCCCCACGATCATTTGTCCACACCTGCTGTTCGTCGAACCGGCCAATTGTTAGCGGGGTGGAGGAGTGGCAGGTTCGAGGCAAAAACGTTGCATCTCTAATGAGTTCTCATTGACGATGCAACGTTTTTGCACGTCGCTGCGTTCGAGGTAACACGCTGTTCCAAGAATGATTCCCAATGGCTGGCGCGTTACGCCGGAAAACAGGATCGAAGAGCTATATCGTGGCGTTGATGGATCACAGGGTGGATAACTAAGGAAGCGTTCATCAACATTTTGGCATTCCTTTCGTTCTAACGAGAAAAACCGGAAGAGGTGCCGATTGATCTAAGGCTTTCGTAACAAGTCTCGCAAGAAGGTTAATAGAAATTCTGAATTAAGTACATCGTACTTGATTAGAATACGGTGTATCAAGGTTAAATGAGTTGAACGGACGAAGATCTGATTCAGGAAATGATGAATGTTGATTTTTACGTTCCGGTGATTGCTCGTCGGTGGAACGAAAGTGGATGGTACGAGGAAAAAACGATTTTCATAGAGAGATCTGTAATAAGGTTCGAGGTTTCTGTATTGTTCAAGAACAACCGATCTAAGTTATCAGCAAAACAAGGAATTGAATCATTAATTCTCTCTCTTTCTTTCTTTAAAAAGAGATACAAAAATCGAAAAAACAATCAACCGTGTTGATTGATCGTTTGTCGGAACGGACCCCCATGGTTTCAGCATCGAGTTATTCGCGATTAACGAATAGAAAAGAAGTAGCGAGCAAAATGGAGTCAACTTTAACCCAACGTTGGTACAGAGCCAAGTGAAATTTACCGCGTACGTAACGCCGTGTAACGTGTCGTTGTTTCCGGCGAACTTGACCTCCAGTTTTGCGTGACGTAATTCTGTGCAAGTGAAAGTGGTTTCTGCCGGGCTTTTCGAACGATTTCCAATGCAGCGCAACAGTGAGATGACTAATCGGTCCCCGATCGAATCTGTCAGTCGACAATGTTCCATCAATCGTCGACCGTAAAACCAGCAGGCGTAGTTGGGAATAGTTGACGTGGTATATATGTACGTAATTCGAAACCGGCTCAACATAAACGGAAGAGACCTGCACGATACCCCGAAGAGAGCGTTGCTCTCGCGATGGAGAAGACAGGGACGACCCGAGTCGCCGTGAACAAACGAATATGGTGTGTCAGATCCATGGGAAAGCACCCTGGGCTTGTCGACGTGTCCGATGCCAAAGGTGAGCACTATGACTAAAGTAAGACTATTATTCTCTTCACGGGTAGAAGGAGAGGACAAGAATAGATTCGATGTCCTGGCGCAGCTTGACTCTCTCAAAGATTACCCAGTTAGGTTAGTTATAGCGATCGTTTGAAATCAAAGGGAGGATTCGATCGTCAATGGTGAATTAATTTTGTACTCGCGTGAGTTTCACGGTGGTGAAACAATGGTCTCACAAAGTGAGAATCTTTTCTTTGACGATATTATTTGTCGAATATTTATTTATGAATTATTCATTAAAAATATTTTCCGTTGAATTCTTCTCGTGAATTCTATTTCTGCGAAAACTAGTCACGTCGGTCTTTTTAATCGTTACTTTATACATTATTTTGTTCGTTTTGAGTCCTATATATAATCATTATTATTTCTTTTCACTCTTTGTGTTCATCCTTTGAAACATTGCTGGCAGAAATGTTGATGGAATTTTTAATTAAAAGGTTCGTCGTAATTGTAAAATCGCAGCATACGGATATTATTTCTGTCTTTTTAAACGAACGCGCGACGAATAAAAAGTCTGGCCGGGAGAAAGGGCGAAGACTTCCTTTTTATATCACCTCACGTATCTACACTTGCTCGCCGCCAAATGAGTTACGTTACGACGCGTTGAGCGCACGCACTCGGCTGAACGTTGAAGCATTACGAAGACGAAGATAAAATTCTCGCGTACTTTCCTGTGAAAGGATCCTTCTGGTGGATACGCTCGAAAACTTACCAGAATTGGATTGCGATGCCAGTAGAACAGCCAGACAGAGTATAATCCCGGGTCGACAAAGCCCGGCGTTCAAGGCCGACATGTCGGCACTCTTCTTCCGTTTTCTGAAATCACGAGAAAATATACTGTTAGCCGTCTGTTTGTTTCACTCGGACATCTGTCTTTGTTGTTTTCAATTTTCATGCAATTTAGAGGCAATTCTTCAAGTGGCAGAAATACACGAAGTAAATTGAAAGATGCCAAAGAATACGAACGTTAAAAATCAGAAGAGTCACTACATTAACGGACACCTCAAGTATCCATTACTCGTTCCCATTTTACGATCCAAGCGTGTGCGTAAATTAACGCTCCGAAGCCGGCGGATTACGCAACATCTCGAAGAAACATTCCCTTTCACGGCGAAGAGGATGTTCTTCCAATTTCTTTCAGGCATTCAACGAAAAACGATTTCCGTAAACAGACGTCACGTTAGAAATATTACACCTTACTGGAAACGCGTTGGTCGATTGCGTTTCTTCATTCTTATGAACTCGAGCCGGCGTGTACCAGCAGCGAAATGTAATAAGCCATTGTGCGTTTTCCTTCGTTGAATGTTAAGGTCGTATTTATCCTGTCACGTGGCATTCTAGCGTAACTGGTCGCCCAGTTGACAGCTGGACGTGCTTGGAAGCGAGCCCAGTCGCATATCTTTGCACAATTGGGCCGGCTAGTTCTCGCGATACGCCTCGCTGGCATGCAGATCAGGGTGGCAGGATGAATAAGTAGACGAGCGTATTTCGGTGTCAAACGAGACGTGAAAATTCACCGACACGAGTACAGCAGCGGCCAAGTGAAACTGATTCACGTCGCTAAATACCAAGTCCCTTTCACGCGCGTGAGCACGCGCAGCGCGTGAATTTACGATAGGCGTGGGTGCGTGGGAATGCGTGCCCGGATTCGCGTGATTCCAGCTGTCGGTGACGAGGAATTTCTCTTGAGAATCAAGGACAAACTCGGAGGGTGAATCCTCGGTCGAGCAATTTGAAATTTCTTTAAAACAATAAAGATTTAATGAAAGGGAACTGAAGGAGATACGGAATTTGAAAAGCGGGTTTCACGCGATTTTTATTATAATTCCGAGAACTTTGCTACGGATAAGAAGAAATAGAACTTTGCAGATAATGGAAAAACTTCGCGAAGAAATTTTGATGCGTGTTCTCTGCAATTTCGAGTCGTTCGAGATTTCTTAAAACTTGGATCTCCTGGGAAATCAGTAGGATGTCACGCTTCAGAAACCATTTACTACGAAACTGCAGAAGATTCGGTGTTTTATCATCCGGAGTCAACGAACGACAATCGTGATAACAGTTCGTATAGACAACGAACTGCGGATGTCAGGAACGCGGTTCATAGAACTACTCCTCAAAAACAAGAAAAAGAGAGAGGAAGAGAGAGAGAGAGAGAGAGAGAGAGAAAGAAAAGAACAGAAGGCAGGACGGAGCAACAAAAAGGAAGAATCGACAGGAAGGGAAGGTGGACTTTGGTGAACGCCGGCGCATACCAGTTGCGACAGCGGCTTAATACAAAGGGCCACCGAGATAAAAGAGCGTGGGTAGTTTCTCTTTTGACCGTCGACATCATCTTCCCTCGTCGTTTCATCGTGCACCCTTCGCTGTTGGTGTTTCACGACGATGTTGATCGAGACAGAGAAAAATGAAAGGACGAGAAAGGTACTCGCGACTCCGTGACATCTAAGCTCTCGCCTGCGAATGCAAAAATGCAAGAGTCCCGGTTCCCTCGTGTCCCTGTAGAATCCGCGTGTCATTACGTATTCAGGATACGACCCATTGAACCAAGGAATTCGGTGAATGGGTATGAATGTGCATTGACGAGCGCCTCGATCCCTTGTCGAAGTATTCGCCGACGAATAAACGCAAACGTGGAGATAGACGAGCGTTCAGACTCATTGCTATTGCGGTTTGTATTGAATAGCTCTTGATGAAAATTCAGTGACTAGACGAGTGTATTGTGACAGAACCTTTGTCAACAGGTGCATAATCCATTGACCCATATGTGTACTCCTTACTCAAGTATTCTCCCGAACGGTAACTTCGTTTACTGAAAGATAACGTTAAACCGTTTTCACCTGTACGTCCGCGGAATTCGACATTTTCTTCGACAATGACAGCGTGAATGCTCGAATCCTCGAAACGCGAGAGAAACAGTGTACTTTTCATTCGACGAGGAACCTCTCCTGTTTAGTCATTCTATTCTAAAATTAACGGATTGTAGCTACGGCGTCGTAGCAGACATACAGATTATCAGTTATCAGAATGTTCAACGAATAATTGATCGAGAGAAGCGTGAAAGCACGGATCATACAAATTCTTTTCCCTCACGACTTCTCAGCGCGTGGACAAAGGAAAGGACAGTTTGACACGTCGCGGCGTCACGTATACCAAAGCCACCGAGAAATTCGGCAATTAGAAGGGCCGCCACTTTCTGCCCGCGTCCACTTCCTTCGAAAGTCAACGAATCCACGTCCCATTGTTCCATTAGCGCGTCCTTAGCCAAACGTGATCGTTAACATAGACGCGACGACAGACGCTAGAAAACGACACGCCCGCGCGATGACACGTCGTGAATGGAAATGCCGAGCACGGCACCTCGTTCTACCTGGCCGATCGAGCGCGGCTCTCTTTCTCTTTCTCTTCCCCTTTTCTTTTCTTTTCCCTGCTGTGCCTCGTGTTTCCCTTTCGTTGCGAGATCGACATCCGCGCCGATTCACCCTGATTCGTCGCGAGTCGCGTTACTTTCCTTCTTCTTCAGCCAGGGCTCGGTTGTGGCCGAGTATTCGTCGGACCGCGACTAATTTCACTTGCGCTCTCGATACGGCCGTGCCGCAACCGAAAGTCCGATTTTACAAAGCGATACGAAGGCGAATCAGTTGCCCGATAGATGAAGCATAATCACGTTCACAGCGAGAAGCAACTGGCTGGTCGATAGGGAAACTGATTGAATTGGCAACTCAAAGAGAATTATTCAAACGAAAATGCCAACTCGCACGTGGAACATAGTTATCGAGATACATTAGGAATGTTAAATTACGATACTTCCTAATAGTCTTCAAACATTTTTTTTTTTTTTTTTGTTTGGAGTTATTAATATTTGCGCGTTTAAATTTCTTTCTAATGTTCTTCGTCGAAATCGCTGCGACTGAATGATGATATGTTTAACTATGTCATAATACTGTATAGAATGGTGTGGCTCCGTGTAATACGGTACAATGTGTCCTAATATATTGTACTATGGCATAATAAGTTACAGTATTGCATAATTTGTTACTGTGTAATATGTGAAAAGCATTGCGTAGAATATTGTGGTTTGGAAACGATTCTGTATATTACCTTATAATGTGTTTATCATGTTATGGTATTATATTGTAACGGTATAGTGTCACATGTGATAATCCAAGGAGTAGATAAATTCATAGCTAATCAGGGAATTTATTAAGCAGACGAAGAGGGACAGTTAGAAACAACAGACTGATAACGATCAGGGACCCTCTTCTCTATCCCGGATAACAGCTGTTCGCGCGATAATTGCGGCGGCAATGGGAGTTTGGCTCGAGTATAAGGTGCAGGTAGATGCACCCACAGGTCCGGTGAAATGGGGTGCCTGGTGCCAGAGGTTCCGTTAGAGCCCGGAGGCTGCGTTCGTTCACCATTACCGTGGAACGCGGAATATGATTACCTTCACCTGGGAACATACTGTTCGTATCCCCTCCGGTATGGAGAACTGTGGGCGAAGTTTCCACCGGCGAAACACCGTGTCCCGGTTAGCCGAGTTGATACCCCGACGATGTACCGTGATTAGCTAAAGACTGGACCTCCGCACGATTTCCGACGTCCCGGGCCGTGAGATCGAGATCACGCGACCTGACTCCCCAGCCCTGCGTTATATTTGCACTAGGCTCCCGCGCCTAGGAAATGCAACGTCTTTGGGATCTTTGAATATGCCGAATTACTGTCATCCGCAGTAGTGGCTGACAATTAAGGCTTGTTGCCTTTGGTCAACCCTCGAATAGCCGACACCGAGTCACTTTTGACCCATAGCTGAACTTTTACTCTACTTGCTTTGCGCCCAACTGTTTGGTACAGAATGTTATCTAATAATGTTTATAACATGGGGAGGAGATTAGTTTGTTTAAAAAATGTAAAATTTTGTAAACATATTTTTTAATTATGTACACTGCGTACATACATACAACGTTATTGTATTTTATTGCATGTTCTTTGCATATAAATTTGGGACATTTGATACCATATTTATTATCATTGTCTGTACATATATAGCATCAAGTTCTGGGTCAACGGTGACCCGGTGTCGGCTACGTAAGATTTAAATTTTTACTCGTCACTGTATTTCTACTTTTCAACAGAATGAGAATGGCAAATGGATTAATATTCCTTCGCGGATGTACTAATTCTTCCTAGAAGAGCACGATCGCGAATCCAGCTCGTGTAATCTCAACTTGCGAGTCCCTTAAATTCGAAATACCAGAGATTTCAGAGCCAGACGAAGTATACGCCGCGACATCGCTCGCAACGTGCGGTTAATTCGATTTCACGTTGCATGTTATGCAAATGGAACGTCGCATGCGTGCAACGAGGGACAAGTCGCGACGTTGGAATTGGTCCCATTGGTCGAGAAACGGGCGATAAAACGTCCCTTACCGTTCGTATCTGCTAATTGGAACATTTCCAATGGTTTGCGCGAACAAGGGGAAGAGATTCTCTTTCTCTGTCTCTCTCTCTCTTTCTCTCTTTGCTTTTGTCCGCGCGTCTATCGAAATTCACTTCGTTTGGCTGGCGACTCGACTGCAGTTAGAACGCGGCTATTTTTGTCGTCTCGTTATCGGTAAAGCGCGTGTAACGGTGGTATTTCATACAAAGTGGTGGAGAACGAGCACGGCGACACGGTACGGTGACACGACGACGACGAGGCACTCACTTCCGACACGGTAATACCCTGAATGAGTATCGTGGCCGATCGAGCAATGACTAACGGACCTGTCCGCCTCTCTCCTAAAAGGCAGGCTGACCCGTTGAAGCGACGCTTCATC